GATGACCTTGCTGGAGGAAGTGTGTCACTGTGGGGGTAGGCTTTGAGGTCTCTTTTACTCAAGCTTTGTTCAGAGTGACCCTCAGAACATTTCCTGTTGCCTGAAAAACGTAAGACTCTCAGCTACATTTCCAGCACCAGGTCTGCATACCACCCCGCAATTAACTGTTTTCCTTATGAGAGTTGCTGTGGTCATGGTGTCTCCTAGCAACAACAAAAACTCTAACTAAGGCAGCAGGGTTTATTGTGGTTTGCAGTTGGGAGGTGGAGCAAAAAAGAGTCCATTACCATCACAGTGGGGAAGCATGGAAGCAGGTAGAAACTGGAGCAGCAAGCTGAGAGTTCACATCTTAAACCACAAGTGTGAAGCAGAGAGAGTGAACTGGGAAGGGCATGAAGTTTTGAAACCTCAAAGTCTTCCCTCAGTGACATACTTCCTCCAGCAAGGCCATGCCTCCTAACTTACCCAAACAAAACCTCTAACTTGTAGCTAAATATTCAAATGCCCATGAAAATGGAGGGCATCTCATTCAAACTTCCATAGTTAATTATGTCTAAAGAGATACAAGTTAATTTCAATGGTACCAAAATTTGAGCCTAGACCTTTCTGACTGTCCCCCTGCAAACCACCACGGCTATCCCCAAGTAAGATCAGTTAGAGGAGTGTGGACCATGACTCATTTTTATGAAAATATAATTAACAGAACTATAAATGCATTAAACTTTAAATGCAAACATTGGTTAAAATGGTAGCATAGATGTTGACTTGTAATTATTGAGACTAATAAAAGATTCATTTTCAAACATTGCCCCTTTCAACCTTGACTTCTTGTGTTTGGTTATGATGAGTGTACATAACTTTCTGTCATTGTTGCTTTGAAAGATTTAATCCCAGGCAATTAATTTTGGTATGAGGTACACATTATGCTTTTAAAAATACAACAAAATCTCATATTTCTCCAAATGGTTAGTTAACTGCCCACTGTCATTAACTGAATTACCCAGTATTTCCTCAACCATAGTCTTCATAGTGTGGGCATATGTATGTATGTGTGTATGCAGGTGTACTTGTATATACAGGTGTGCATGCATGTGTGAGCACTTGTGTGAGAGCAAGAGGACGGTTTCATATTTCATCACTCAAGTGCCACCATCTTGCTTATTTAAGACGGGGTCTCCTCTGGCCTGGTACTTGCCCAGAGGGCTAGTCTGATTAGCCAACCAATTCCTAGATTCCACCAGACTTCACTTCCCTAGCACTGGAATTACAAGCACACACTATACTGTCTGACTCTTATATATCAAACTCAGATCCTCATGCCTGCAAAGCAAGCAGTTTACTGACTGAGCCATCTTCCTATCCCGCCTCCCCTCCTTATTCTCACTGCAAATTATTGTTCTACTTTTAATTTGAAACAACCTTTGACTTCCAGAAAACCAGCAGAGAGAGAAAGAGGTGGGGAGGGAGGGGAGGCTGGAGAATTCCCATATACCTTTCACTCCCCTTCATTGTGTAATTATTAGAAAAACATAAAAATGATATTGATACAATGCTATTCACTAATCTATGTACCTGATTTGATTTTTGCCAGCCAGCTTTCTCAGTGATATAATTTCTCTGGTCTAGGATCCCATCCAAGATCTTGCACTGAGTTGTCATATATTCTCAGTGACCTCCATCTGACATTGCTCAGACCTTCCTATCTGTCCTGGCTGTGACACTGGAGAGGACACTAGCCAACTATTCAGTATAACATGCCTCAGTTTGGTTTTGCCTAATATTTTCTCTGGACTGGGGTTTTGCATTTGGGGCAAGAAAATCATAGAAGTGATTTCCTACCTTCCTGGTGCTGGGTGAGGGTGTGGGCTGCCAAGTTTCATCATTGTTCTCTTATCCTTTATCTATTAGTAATCAGTGAACATCTTGTTGGGAAATTCGAGGGTACCATGCAAATACCCTACTACCCAACCCACTCCCCACTATTAACCTTGGTCTCTATCTATGGAAAACTACAAAAATCATTAGCACAGTGGTGTTTGCCTGATGCAAGATTCTGTTTCCATATTCTTCCACACTCACTGAACTGGCATTCCTCTGCAAGGGAATGCTGTCCCTTCTCTCCCAATAAACATAATTATTTATTTATAATAGCATAGGTTTGTGAATATTTATTTTACTCCAGGGGTTATAATCCGATTCTTACAGTAAATTCTAATATGCCATTTTTCCTACTTCTAAATTTACTCTTCTATTTCATTGATATTTTTGTATACTCCTATTCTGGTAATAACACTGTCTTAATCATTATAGCTTCATAATACATATCAGAGTCTGGACATTGAAGTTTTCTTCTCGTTATTATTCTTGCAGAGAGTCCTTGGTGGGTTTCTCCTATTTATCTTTCCAGATGAGTTTTTGAGTAATTTTTGCCAATTTACACAATAAATTCCTAAGGGCATTTGGTTGAAATTGCATTCAATTTATGAACTAACTTAGGGAAAATTGTTTTCTTTAAAATATTAAATCTCTCCATCTAAAAACATGATACGCCTCTCTGTCTATTGGTGAGCATCCACGTGCCTATGTGAAAACTTGCCATTTCTTTGTGTGGGTACTATACCCTCTGATTGGAAAATTCTCAGAATCTTTGCCCCTAGGATTCTTTTGGTAATCAGACATCGTACCAAAGCTGTCTCAACTGTTTTACATTTTTAATTAATTTATTTACTTAGTAGTTATTTGCTCAGTGCCTACCATGAGCTGAGCACCACTGGTTTAATAGATTGGGAGTTTTGTCCTGCATCCCTCACCATGGATCTTCATTTCATGTAGAAAAGGGAAATGGGGAGGGGACACATAAGAGAGAATGAACATGTGGATACTGTTGCCCCAGGACTCAGTGGATTTCCAGCTCTCCACACCTACACTGGGGGAAGATTGCTTGAAATAACACCAAATTTCTCAGGTCAGAACTGAAACACTAGATTTCCCTCCATGAGAGCTGTCAGACTTTTTCCAGCTAACAAGGAGTTAAACAAATAACTATTTACAACAGGGAAAATTCTCACAAGGCAAACTATATACTCTGTTGATCATCAAAGTGGAATAAGAAAATAATAAAAGAACTACGGGGAAGTGTTTGACTATGTCATTTTGGACCAGTGATACATGAATGATATTTCATCCCAGAGTGGGAAAGGAAAAGAAAAATTAACCAAGAAACCATGTAGGCAAAAGAGCATTCACACGGGAATAATAGCCTGTGCAAATAGGAATGTTTGGTGGACTCCAGTAAAGATGATATAGATCTCATCTATCTACTGAGAACTCTTTCAGTCAGCTGCCTGAGTTCTGATGCCACTCTAGGGCCCCCAAACAACACACAGAGTCTTATGTTAGTTACAATGCTGCTGGCCAATGACTAGTATTTCTCATTTGCTAGCTCAGTCTTAATTATCAACCATCACCATTAATCTTATCTTAGGACTCCAGTGGCATGTGTCCTCTCTTGCTGGGATCACATGCCATCTCCTGTCTTTACTATATTTCCCAGAATCCTCCCTGACACCTAGCCCCACCTATCTTGTTTCCTATTGGCCAACAGTGCTTTATTTATCAACCAATAAGACAAACATATGCACATATGGACCTCCCCCATCATCTCCTCTTTTCTGTCTAAATAAAAAGAAGGGTTTTAATATTAACATAGTAAAATATATAACAAAACAGTTATCAAGAAAGAACTATAGTTATCATATTTAGTTCATTAACATTTAGCAGGATTTTAAGGAAAATATCCTATCATCTATCTTATCTTTGTGAGTCTAAAGTCTTATATGTAACTTATCTTTTATCATAACTAAGGAAAACCATAACTATAGCTATCTGTCTTCAACTCCATCAAAGACCACAGAAGGATAATATATAAACTCTAGAACCGATAGAGACATCTCAATACCTGGACAGTCACCCAAAGTTCCTCTGTAACGTTGGGGCATCCATCTTCAGCCTATAGGCCACAGTGTGTCTGGCAGACTTCTCCATGAAGCAGGAACCCTTCAAGACTGTCTTGTTTTGCAAGTTTAGCAGTCACTTTCCTGTGGGTCCTGCATGTCCAGTTTATCAAACAGTCCAGGCAAGAGCAGTTTCTTGCCCAAATAGCTAATCTTGCCATGTTGAAGACAAACTCCAAATTGAGTTTCTTCGATGACCATCTTCCTCTCAGACGTAATTGGTGTTGTCAGGAACAGTTGTGCCTCACTGTCATGAAAAACCCTAAACCAATTAAATGTCATATATTCTGTAGGTCTTTGAAAGGTCTGAAGAATATCTATACATCTCAAATACATCTCTGTATATCTAGAAAACCTAACTAACCTAACTGTAAGTTTTGACTATTATACCTGACTATATACAATCTGTATCTAATTATGCATTACATTTTAAAAGAGCTGTATAAACACAATACCTAAATGAGAGGAGAAATATGCATATCACAAAATTGACCTTAAAGTTGTATCAATAAATGAAAATCCATACCAATGCAAAGTATTCATTTCTATATCCTATTCCCGGTTGTTTTTTTCCCTTTAAAAAGAGATTGACTGTGATCGTTACAATTTATAACCAATCCCATGTAAATGAAAACAAACATTTATAAACAATATTTGGGAATTTGGGTGTCGTACATTCCAAACTGCTTCCTGCTGGTTGGGGACGATGTCCATACCATGGGGAGCATGATAAAACACAGAAACCTGGCCAGGTCCTTGTTTTTGTAGTCTGTAAGGCTGTGTCATCTTAGCTGTTTTAGATGTTGGATCACCTGGGACAGTGTTTGAGGGGGGTCTTGCTTGATCAAACCATATTAGTCTAGAAGGAATCCATAGCTTTACATTTTCTGTGGAAACATAAGCAAAAATTGTTTTTCCAAGTAACCTGTCCTTATATTTAAATTTAGAAGTCAAAGCATTTTTAAACACTTTATCTTGTTTCTTTTTCTCTCATAAGCCTACATATATTTTTAAACACACTGTAAACCTTTAGAGGCTTTTCTTCATCTGAATCTGTCTTTACTGTAAATCTTTACCTTTTTCTGGCCACACAGTCTTTTATCTAATAAACAACATTGCTAAAATTAAAATGGTGGCTGTTTTAGCCGATGTCTTTCCAAGATGGTGGGGGGGGGCAGGAGTACATTTATCACCAGGACTGAGAGCTGTGCTTACTGCCTTGGTCTATGCTACCATCAAGGAGCATGGTGCCAGCTTGGAGATGTGGTCACTGCCACTGCCAGTACACACCATTCAATTGTTAGCAAGGCCTTTTAAGAGAGCCCTGTGGTTTTTTCCACTTATGCTGAGTCAGGAAACCTCCCTTAAGGGAGCGGCTCGAATATCTGCTTGTCTCTAGAAAAACAGACCACCCAAGAAAATGCTGTTACCAAGAATTCATGCTAATCTCTGTTCTTTTGCTTCTAAAATCCCTTTTTAAGCTTTTCTGAAGTTTTTATGTGGAAGTTTGTAAAATCACATGGTCGCCATTTTGTAACGATTACTCTTTCAGTCTTAATTATCAACCACAACTACTGATCTATATATTTTTATAAAGACTTATCTCGCCAAGGAAGCCAGCCTTACGCGTCCTCTTCTTCCCGGGATCACATGGTGACTCCTTCCCTTTCCTACATTTTCCAGAATCCTCCTTCTCACAGAAGGACCTACCCCATCACATCTAGGTAGACCAGATGTAGGAGGAGCTGTGGGATATTCAAAAGCAACCAGATATGGAGTCTGTCTTTATACGGACAGTGCCAGCACAGCTAACAGATTGAAAGTTAGAGAAGGCAAGGGTGATGGAATGAACTGGATCAACACAGGGGGCCTTCCTCAAGGACCCAGACCAGCCAATATGTTTCCAATAACTCTTAGACGGTCTGCACATAAGGTTTTAGCTCATAAAACAGACTGCGATTGAGCACAGAAAAAGACAGGGACTGTCTTCTGAGCAGCTGGCAGGCTGTCAGAGCTCCCTCTAAGAATGCAACACCTCACCTCCAGGTAGCCAATAGTTAACAGGTGCATAGGGTTCACTGACGTTCAACTCTATTATTGTCAACTGAAATTCTACCGAACACATTATATTTTATGGATGACTCAAGTACCCTTCAGGCTCAGGAAGGAGCCTGAAGGTCAGGATTATAATCTCTAATTAGTTCTGCTCTGGAGCTGGGAGGGCGAGCTGGTTACCCAGAGTCTCCAGTACATGAGTCTGGGATAAGAAATTGCTACCTCCAATGGATGAAGAACAGATTCTGCTCATTTGCAGAAGTGCCTGTTAATTGTGAATAATTACCAGAGAGTGTACTTTAGCCATCACTGACACATATAAATAACCATTTGTACCTTGACTCCAGGCTATTAATACACTCCCAGGGATGTTCTGATAATGCCAGTAGAAGTGTGGGTCTCAAATCTTCCATGCAGATTTCTGTTTGGACTGACATCAGAGGATGCCGGGGGAGAAAATGAAAAAGAAAAAAACTCTGCTGGGATCTAAGTGAGCGTGAATTAGTTAAGGTTTGAGCAACTCACATCCATAATGAAAACTGCTTAAGGATAAAGTATTTTTGGAAGCCCCCCCTCCCGAAAGGGATAATGAAAGACTCAAACTCCGATGTCACAGATTCAAAGCAGAGCCCCCTGCTGTCTTCAAAGAATTCTGTCTCATCTGTAAGGAGAGAAACATACTGGTGTTTACTGACTATCCTGGACCAGCCTGGGCCTGCTTCCTGGCAAAGGCTCTGCTTAAAGGAGCAAGAGGGAGCAAGTGGTGTGGAGAAGGGGCACACAGACAGGGAAGGCAGTTCAGACCAAGCCATCCATCCCTTCAGACAACAAGCTACACATCCCCCAACACACACACACACACACACACACACACACACACACACGCACGCACGCACACTCACACACACACTCGCACACACACGCGCACGCGCGCACGCGCACACACAAACGCACACATGCACGCACGCACGCACACGCACACGCACACGCACGCACGCCTGTGTGCGCACATGCACGCATGAGGCTAAATCAACCCTGTCCTGTACATCCTTGGGTCTTCTTCCTCTTCCGAACCTCTGTGGCCACTCCCACAACCTCTCTATCACCTCTCCATCACCTGCTGGCTCTGCCTAAATGGCCCCCATCTGTGCCCAGGAGCTCCACTCCTGATGCTCCTGAACACCTATACTTCATGTTACTGTTCAAAGGTGGCCCTGAAAAAGATGCTAAAGTCCTGAACCCACAACCCTGTCACTGTGAGCTCATCTGTGAATAGTCTTTAAAGATGTAATGAGTTAAGATTATGTCACATTGGATTAAGATGGAACCTGATTTTGATATGACTGGTGACCTTATGAGCAAAAGAGACAGTGATACGCATGAGGAAGGCCTCCATGGAACAACAGAGGTGGGGACTGTATTAACATACCTACAATTCAAGAAACACCAAGAACTGCAGACCGGCCCAAAAGAAGGACCCATGCCACTTAGTTTTCATTATATTGCTGTGATAAACACTACAACCAAAACCAACATAGGGAGAAAAGAGTTTATTGCATCTTACATATTATAGTTTATCAGGAAGGGAAGTCAGAGCAGGAACTCAAGGCAGGAGCCTGGAGTCAGAAACTGAAGCAGAGGCCATGGGTTAGTGTTGCTTGCTGACTTTTTCCTCTTGGTTTTTTCAGCCTGCTTTCTTTCTTTCTTTCTTTCTTTCTTTCTTTCTTTCTTTCTTTCTTTCTTTCTTTCCTTCTTCCTTTCTTCCTTTTAGCAGTTTCTTTTTTCAGTTTTTTTTTATTTGAATTAGAAACAAGATTGTTTTACATGACAATCCCAGTTCCCTTCTCCCTCCCGTCCTCCCCTACCATCCCCCCATCTAAAACCCTACCTATCACATAGCCTTTCTTCTATTCTTCCCCTGACTCAATCGTTCTGCTCCCTCATGTCCTCTGCATCCTTCCTCTTCTTCCCTTCTCATTATCGTAGCTCCCTCCCCCCTCTTCCCGTGCTCCCAATTTGCTCAGGGGATCTTGTCCTTTCCCCTTCTCCAGGGGACCATTATGTCTCTCTTAGGGTCCTCCTTGTTTACTCGCTTCTCTGGCAGTGTGGATTGTACAGCTTGCTTTCTTATACCTCCCAGGACTACCTGTCCACTGTTGGCTTGGCCCTCAAACATCAATCATTAATCAACAACTGTCCCCCACAGACTTTCCTAGAGAACATTCTGGGGGGTGGTATTTTATCAGTTAAGGTTCCCTCTTCCCATATGACTCTAATTTGTGTCAGGCTGACAAAAATCAACCAGCGTAGTCCCCTAGAGCCTTCCAGATGGAATGGTCCTCTAAACAGATTGCTTCATTGTTCTTGCCTTGAGAACTGTGACAGAATGATGCAGCATTTCAAATTATTAGTGTTTTGCATGTGTATGTGTACGTGTGTACTGCATGTGTGCGTGTGCATGCGTGCATGTTGCATGTGTGTTCATGAATGTGTGTGTGAGTGTTGTATGGATGTGTAAATATGTACTCAAGTGTTTGTGCATATGTGCATATGTGTGAGTGTGTGCCCTATGTGTGTGTGTGTGCTGCATGTGTGTGTTCATGTGTGTGTGTGTGAGAACATGTATGCATGTACTCAAGTGTTGGTGCATGTGTGCATATGTGCATGTGTGTGCCCATGCATGTGTGTGTGTGTGTGTGTGTGTGTGTGTGTGTGTGTGTGTGTGTGTGCAGGCATACATGTGCCACAATGCATATGTGAAGGCCAGAGTACAAGCTTGGGTATTAGTCCTTGCCTTTTATCTTCTTTGTGACATATCTCCTGGTGTTCTACATGGCACACTCCATACTAAGCTGACCCAAAAGTTTTCAGAGTCTTGTCTCTTCATTCCATCTCACCTGAAGAGTGATGGGTGTGCTTCAATGATCCGCTTTATGTGGGTTCTAGAGATTGAACTTGGGTCCTCATGTTTGTCCACTGAGCCATCTCCTCACTACCCCAAATCAATGTTTTAAGCCACCCTTGTTTGTAACATTGATGCAGCAGAGCTTAGAAATTTACATACCGGTATAACATGGGTGTGTTCTACTTTTCTGTTCAGCTATCACTTCAGATCATGGTTTACAAGGGACCTGGAAACGATCTGGGAATGATTGTCACATGAAGATGGGAGGATGGGCAGGAGCAAGGTCTTCTCTGTCCTCTGCTCCAATCCTGAAGCTCAGGGCAAGAGCGTATGCATTCCCCAAACCCCTCTGGTTGTATAAAGCATAGCTCAGTATAGGTACCTGGAAGAATGACTACAGTAAGACCTTTCTTTCCTGAAGTGCAGATTCATCTCATCCCATCACCACCAGCTGGGAAATGTGATCCACAGCTTTGCCTATTGGAGCCTGTAATATATCAGATAAGGCAGCTGTTTGGTGGAAATGAGACTGTCTTTGAAAAGCATCTGTATCATGGCCCTGCATCCCCAGATTCCTACACTGAAGTCCTAACCCCAGGACTTCAGTATTGAAGCTGAGATCCTTAAAGAGGTAACTAAGTGAAATGAGGTTATTAGGGTAGTCCCTAACCCAGGGTAATTGGTGTCCTCAGAAGAAAAGGAGATGGAGACACAGACCTAACTAAGGGTGGGCCACATAAGAGCATAGCCAGAAGCTGCCCACCTGCAAGCAAAAGAAAAGCCTCCTCCAGAGCAGGGAAATTATAATGTTCTGTTCTGTAAACCACCGAACCTGTGGCATTTTGCTACAGCAGACTTCCCCAATGCCTCCTGTTTCTATTCTGGCTATCATCAAGAAAAATAAGTCAGCAATGATGGAGGGGATGTGGGGATAGAGGAACCCCTTTTCTCTGTGAGTGGGAGTGGAAACTGGCACAGCCACCATGAAAATCAGTGTGGATTCTCAAAAAGAACCTTAAAAATAGAACTATCATATTTCCCAGCTATACCACTCCCGGGTATACGCTCTAAGTCCTCCCGTAGAGATACCTGCACCTCCATATTCAGGGCTGCACTGTTCACAATAACCAGGAAATGGAGCCAGCCCATCAATAGATGAGTAAGTAAAGGGACACATACACGATGGACTTTGATGCCATCATGAAGAAAATTAAAAACATTAATTCTTGCAGAAAAGCAAATGAATCTGGAAATTACTATGTAAGTGAGGTAACAAAGACACCAGATATAAATACCACATGTTCACTCTCCTATGTGCATCTTATAATCCTATATTTTAGGGGGGGCAGCGCATGCCTGCACATGTGAGTATATGAGTGAGTAAGTGTGTATGTGAGTACATGTGCATGAGAGAGAGAGGGAGAGAGAGAGAGAGAGAGAGAGAGAGAGAGAGAGAGAACTAGAAAGATGGAAAGAGATTTTAAGGAAGATGAGACAAGATGCAACATCAAAATGAAAAATAGGGCCCTGGGGTTAGGAAGAGTACAGCCAGAGAAGGGCCAGGAGGATGGGGAGGGAAGGAGAAGAATTGCCAAAACTCAGGTATTAAATCAAACCCACACCTTTGCACACTAATTTAAAAAACCTAAATAACAAATCGTCAATGAACGAGTCAATAATAAACAAATAATAAATTTCTTTCCAGTTTTACATCTCAGGCTCATTTATCACATTTGATTAATACTAGACAGACAGGCTGTCTCCATTTTTACTTTTCTGAAATGTGGGCCTGTCTGCCAGCCAGGCTAGGCAGGCACCATGGTCCGGTATCTCCAATGTGTCCCCTCAAGCTTCCTGAGAGTTCCTGCTGCACAAAGGCAACCCCCACACTGCAACCAGCAAATGACTGCTTGAGGAGAGAAGCTGTGTCCTACTTGTCTGCAAAGCTTCCACTGCTAACACCTGGTAAATTGAAAAAAATCTCAGCATTGAATTTGCAGACTGGGAAGCTGAGGGGGGGTAGCTAGGAGTGAGAGTTAGGAGTGCTTGCAAGGACCCTGGCACTGCGATTGTTCTTGGTGGCATAAGGGACAAGCCCTTGGAGGAAAGCACAGACATTGATGGCTGAGTCAAAGCCAAGTCAGAGGCCTTGAACTCTGAACCAGGAAGTTTAAAAGTCTTTCCAGCAATTCCTTTCCAGCAATTTGTTTCGCTTATGTGTTCCTTGGAACGTATGCAAATGTGTGATAGATGATAGAATCTACATCCCCACGTATTTAAAAGGCTCTTCCAATAAGCATAAAATAAAAATCCTAAGTGATAAGGAGATACAGAGTCTAACATCCGTGGCAGCATGCTTTTCCTTCCTAGTGATACATCAGCCAAGAGTGCTCCTTCCTAGTGATACATCAGCCGAGAGTGCTCCTTCCCAGTGATACATCAGCCGAGAGTGCTCCTTCCTAGTGATACACCAGCCGAGAGTGCTCCTTCATTAGTGGCCAGTCCTTTTGCCCCGGATGAAGGATGGAATGACTTCATTACAGTCCGGTCATAGGTAGGAAGCAAGAGTAACCCATTTCATAGGTGAGAAGCTGAGGCTGTTTGGGGCTGACTGACTTGCACATGATCACACAAGCCCAGCCTTGAACCTTGGGACCCTCACAACCTGGCTGTGGTCCCACTCCTGTCAAGCTCACCTCTGCTGCCCCACCTACACCTGAATTCCAATCCTGGATTCTAGCCTCCAGTGGGAAGTTCCTGCCAAGGAGTTAAATTAGTTGGTTTTTCATGCATATATAATAAACTCAACGCAATAAATAAGGCTTTATGGGTGGCAGATTTATCCATTTTTATGCTTCAAAAGTAAAGCTCACCGGGTTTATACGTCAGACACAGACACTGCCCCTCACACCTGCAGGTGTAAATCACAGTGACCTGGGATGGTAACATGGAGGACCTGCCTGGGGGCCTGGTTTATAAGACTGTCAATAATTACAGCCCCAGGAAGCCCACAAGACACGCAGGCAGAATCTGCTAGGAGCACAGGCAGAGGGACAAATTACTGGGCACACCGCTGAGCCCATAAAGATGGTGTTATCAGAGGCTGAGTGTGGTCCCCAGGGCACAGGCATGGAGTGTCTAAACAAGCATGAAGGGTGGCCCTGAGAGAGGCCCTAAAGAAGAGTTCTGGAGCCTTCCGGACTGGTGATTCATGCCAGTATCATCTGGAGGCTGGTCAAAACACAGACTGTGGCTGGAGAGACGGCTCAGCCAGTGAACTGACTGTTAGGCAAGAATGGTGATCTGAGTTCCACACCCAGCGAGGCATGGCCACAAGCAAATGATTGCCATCCCAAAGACGGGTGTCAGAGACAGGATCCTTGGGGTTCACTGGCTGGCCAGCTATGCCAAGTAAGCAAGTTATAGGTCCCAACAAGAGTGTCTGTTTCAAAAAAAATAAAATAAGGCAAGGCTTCTGAGGAAGAATGATGCCCAAGTTTTACATCTATCCCACACATGTACATGCACAAATGTGTGTATGCCTGCACACACACACACACACAAAACCCTCAGACATTCTGACTCAGGATATCCAGGCTATGGTTGCAAAGTTTGCGTTTATCCCAGGAAGTGCTCAAACAGTCCATCTGTGGATAATTTTTGAACACTGATGTCTAGATTACTTTTTAGCAAAGGCACAAATATCTCTCATATTACCCAGTGTCCTGAAATGACCCAAAACCCCACTAGGGTTGTAAATGACACACTATGCCCAGATGTAAGAGCTGGCCTTAACATCATGCCATTAAAAGTATGTACACTGAAGGTCAGCATCCCTGGGACACTGAAGGCAAGTGGCTTCATCTCCCACAGCCTCATGTTTTGCCTGATGAATGGGATCATAATAAATGGTCATGAGATGAGGCCATTGTACCACTATAATAACTAAATGAGGCTGCAAATCTGTATATGTATGTGTCCATACACCTGTAGTGCCACACATTGAACCCAGGGCCTCACACATGCTAGGCAAGCACTCTACCACTGGGCTATACTCCCAACCCTTATGTGAACTGTTCTAGGCAAAGGGTTTTCTCTACTTAGTAACTGTGAAACTTCCTAGTATATTTATAATGGTTGATTGTACTGTCATTTTATTGTACTGTACATTTTTTCCTAATAAAGGTTTTCTTGAAGATACTACCTACATTCAACTCAGAGAGTTGCTTCTATTCCCTGGCTCCCTTCTGCCATCCAAAGCCTACAACGATGGCAGTATGGAAACAGCATCTCTAGACAGCAGTGTGTATGTGTGTGTGTGTGTGTGTGTGTGTGTGTGTGTGTGTGTGAGAGAGAGAGAGAGAGAGAGAGAGAGAGAGAGAGAGAGAGAGAGAGAGAGAGACAGAGAGACAGAGAGACAGAGAGAGAATGGGAACGGGCCAGCTGAAGTAACCACTGTTTTCATTTGCATTTTATTCTATGTGCTTTAAAACTAAGCAGGAGAGATAGGTGGGGGTTGAAAATGGGTAGATCCTGTCCTGCAGAGCCCTTCCTATGTCTCCTAGGTTTTTGATCTCTGTGACTGACTCTTTTTCCCACTACCTCCCTCCCCGCTCCCTTCCTCACCGTCCACTTTCCTTTTCCTCTCCCGCCTCTCTCCCCACACCTCTCACTTGTCACATATGTGTCTGTGGAAGGGAACAAGCGATTTTAGAAAAGCAGTTTCAGCTTCTATCTCAAGTGATAGAATGTTCCTTGAACAGTCTCAAGTTTCCTTACTAGTTTTTGTGGGTTGGGCTCCTGGGATGATGTGTTAGTTTGAATGTAATTGGCCCCCATAATCTCATAGGGAGTGGAACTATTAGGGGGTGTGGTTTTGTTGGAGTGTCTGTGGCCTTGTTGGAGGAAGTGTGTCACTGTGAGGGTGGGCTTTGAGGTTTCTTATGCTCAGGATATGGCTCGGTGTTGACTTCCTCTGTCGCCTGTAAGCTACTCCAGTACCACATGTGCCTGCAGGCCACCATGCTCCCTGCCATGATGATAATAGAATGAACCTCTGAAACAGTAAGTGAACCACTCCGATTAAATGCTTTCTCTATAAGACTCACCATGGCCATGGTGTCTCTTCACAGAAATAAAATCCTTAAGACAGGTGGTAAGAGGAGTCCAGATCTGAAACAGTTATGGACTTGGATCTGGTTTGGAACCTGGCTTGGCCTCTCACCATCTGTATGGCTCTGGTCAGTATCTCCCAAGTGTCTATCTCCTCATCTTGCAGAGCATATGAGGGACCTGCTTGTTGAGCAGTGAACATAACCCAAGCCAACCTTCCCTGTCTACACTGACCTCCCAGCTAAGAAGATAGATGAGACTGCATTGAGCATCGTCAGAGAAGGGATGACTTTCTTGAACTTCAGAGCCTGGAGGAGAATGCTCACAGTGACACCAAGGAGTCCACAAAGTAGCAAAACCGCTGGAGGAAACACCTGTGTGTTTCATGTGAGTGACACTCACTGGCACTGTACAACCTCCCCACCCCCACCTCTACTCCCTATTCCCCAATTCTACTCCCCCACTCCCATCCCCCGCCTAGAGGAAGGATTCATAAAAGATTGACCATCACCTCGTGGAGATGAAAGAACACTGTAGGTCAACGAAGCTGACGGGACAATGGCATTCCCAGAGCAGTAGTCAACAGGCAGAGCTTTAGCCTTCAGGATGCGCTAAGCTTCATGGATACATTGGTGACTTGAACACTTCTCCCAGAAAAGTGTCATTACTATTTCATTTCCAAGTGCAGTTCGGAGGTGAGAGAGCTGTGTGTGGTAGGCAAGTCAGATGTCAGCAAGTAGTGAGAATACAAAGTCAGGCAATCTTGCTCCAAGGCCTGTACATCAAACCCATCATGACCTTGCCCATGATTGTGATGTCGGAATAGCACTTTATAGACTATTACAAAATCTTTCTGGTTGTTTTTGGCATGGTAAGAGCAGCTATACCCATTTTATAGATGATACAGCATTGCCGAAGGTTTTGTGACCCATCCAGGTCACACAGAGAAGTGGAGAAGTAGAAACTGGAACCTCATCTCCTGGCCTTGGGTGAAGGATGCTGAACCAAGAATCAGCAAGAGAGCTCCTTCCCTCACTCCCACCCCATGCTCTGCTATGGTAGGCCATGTTCTGCTATGGTGGGGAGGCTTCTATATTTAGATGCTCACAAGGAGCTACCCTGAGAATGTCCTCAAGCTAGGGATTCAGCTCACACAGATTCACTACAGATCCAGGGAAACCAGGAATAAATGGGTGGGAGAAGATTCTTGATTCCAAACAAAAACTGAGCTCATCAAATACAGCCATGCACAAACAGAGGCTGCCAGGGGAAAGCCAGATTTATCTCAAATCCTGTGTATTCAGGAGCCTTTCCCAGAACCCATTGCCCCCTGGCAGGAAATTGCCGTTTCAAGCGTTTGTTTGTTTTTCCTGTGTACTTTACCAGGCTTCATGTCCTTATCAATTTCCTCCAATCCCACAGACTGTTCAGTTGGAAATAACCTCAAGTCCATTCAGACCACGCTAGAGGCAGAGTTGTATCAGGAAGACTGCTGGGCAATCCCAGGCAAAGAAACAGAGGATTCACTTCTCAGCAACACTACCGAGGCCTCCCTTGAAGTTTGAGATCTCCCCTAGCACCAGCTCTTCATGAAGATCCCACCTTCTCTGAGCTGCTCAGTCCAAACAGGGACTACATTTCCTAGCTCCTCTTGCTAATAAGTGAGGTCATGTGACTATTTCTCACCAATGAAATGTGAGCACAACTGTAGGTGCCTCTCTTGTTCAAGGCAATGAAGAAGCAGATGTACTTTGGCCACATTCTCTTTCTTCTACCTGGATGTAAACCAGAGAGAAATGGTAGAGCCACCAGCTGGGAGGAAGCTGGTACTAAAATGGAAAAAAAACCTATGCTGGGTTACTAAAATTATGAGGGCTATTTGTTATAGCAGCATGCATAACTCAAACCAGTACGGCTCCTTGACTTTCCCTTCAGCTCCCTCTAAGGACAGGCACTGGAATTCTACTTCTTCTCCTAGGAGAGCTGTAATCTTTAGTGGCCCCCTATTCTATCCTGTCAATCCTCAAGTCTGCATTCTTGCTTCAGTTTCCTCTAATAGATGAATAGATTCCCCTCAAGACAGGACTGACTTTAATCCTAGTCAGTCTGGGTCTGCCTTCTCAGGCTTGGTCAACACCAAAAGAGTCTGCAATGTAACTGTTGCCACAGTATCCCATGACTACCTGAGTCATGTGATCATTCCCCCAAGGTATTAGTTACATTTCCATTGTGTAATAAAGCACCGTGACCATGGCAACATACAAAAGAAAGCATTTAATTGAGCTTCTGGTTCTAGAGGGTTAGAGTCCAGGATGGCAGAGAGACGGTATGGTGCAGGGACAGCTGAGAGCTCACATCTCACATCTCACATGGCAAGCAGGAGGCAGAGAGCTCACTGGGCATGGCATGTGGCTTTTAAACCTTCAAAGTACATCCTTGATGACATACCCCTTCTGATCACACCACACCTCCAAATCTTTTCCAAACAACGCCACCAACTGGGGTGGCGTTGTATTCAACGCCAAGTATTCAAATCTATGAGCCTATGAGGACCATTCTCATTCAAATCATGTACTCAGCAACCCACTACTGTATTTTGTCCCCGGTGTATCAGCACTGTGCGGGTTTAAGGCCGTACTCTCCAGCCTCACTGATGGCTTGAGACCAGTCTTTGGGGGAAGGAAGGTCTAAGACAGAAGACCATGCTGTGAAATCAGAAGACACTCAAAGCAAGCGTACACTGTTCACAATGAAGGTGTTCATCCCAGGCTCCTAGCCTCACCTTTCAATCTTCTCACTTCCTCCCTCTCAACCTCCTCCTCCCATCAGTGGGCACATCTTAGTGCCCCATGGCCCACCATGCATTCTGTATCAATGTATCCAGCATCCAGAATGCTCTTCTTGCTTAAAATAGGAGTTCAGAGCCCAACAGAAGCTCACTGCTCAATATTATTTTCTTTTTCAGAAACACCAGGATCCCCTCTGGGAAGAACTTTACAGAGCTTAGTTAAGGTCTATTCCACCATCGTCTGCACCAGAGATGTGGTCATAAATGTATAGGACCTCATCCAGTGCACTTAATTTGTGGCTGTGCCTCTTTTCTTCCACAGGCTGAATGGAAAGCTTGGGTTTACATTTTCAGTAGTCATCTCGTTCCACTCTGAGAGTAGAATAGAGAAGAGCTCAGGAATAAAACAAGAGGAAGTTATGAGTCACTGCTTGAATTACTTGATGGAGATGATGTCAGTGTCCCACCCTGGTCCCAGCTACTGGGCCACACGCCCACCCATAAGTGTCTCCTGGAGTTATTGACGAGACACTTCTGTTAGAAACTGACTAGGATTAAAGTCAGTCCTGTCTTGAGGGGAATCTATTCATCTATTAGAGGAAACTGAAGCAAGAATGCAGACTTGAGGATTGACAGGATAGAATAGGGGGCCACTAAAGATTACAGCTCTCCTAGGAGAACCCTGGCCGGAGAACCACTTGGGTCCAATAATTCCCAAGAGGTTGCATCTCTATTTCAAAGGCAGCCTACAGCCAATGCCTGACTAATGTGGGGTATAAACGTCCATGCCTTTTGCTTCATGGCAGATTATTTACATTCCAAAGCAGCCCACAGAAGCAGACTAAAGCCAAACTCCAGCTGCAATGACTTTCCTTATCAGCTTCTCTTTCTGCTACTTCTGACCCACAGAGCCAAGCCCCTGAAGCTCCTCGTGAGATCACTCCCTCAATATGAGGCTCAAGTAAGAATCTCTATGACAGGTTCCACTTCTGAGAGATCCCTCCACCACTGTGTGCCTGCAACAAGAACCATGGACTTTCTGGCCCACGTTTTTCTCTTCCATTGAAGTTCCTAGGCATTGAGTTTCCAGCTGTCGTATTTGACCTTGAATACCTTGTATGAGGTGAAAAATAAAGCATCATGCAGCATTCATTTTTCTTAACCCCATCTTCATCATCATTGCAAAGTGAGGTGAACCTGCAGGCTGTGGGCTCGTTCCCTGGGGAGCCATGTGTCTGGCTCATGCAAGCAGGCACATCCCTACCCAGCACAACCTTGCTGCAAACAGAAACTGTCACACATCCCCACACTCTATTCAGCTTGTGATTCTAAAAAAGGTTGCCAGGTTGGACCAGATTTCAGCTGCAATAAAAAGGACCAACTACTTAGTTTCTCTTCAGTCTGTCCTGAATACAAATAATACTTGTGTTTGTCATAAGGTGTTTAGAGGACTCAGCTTTGAGACTTGGGCTTGGAGAGTCGTGTGCCTTTCAAGGATTCTTGCATCTGACCGTTAGAATGCAGAGATCACTGGCTGTTAGGATCTGCCCAGAAATCCCCCAAGATGCTGGCACTGGATGGTATTAGAAAATTATGGTGTTTTGCTGTGTTGCCAGAAAAAAAAGGAAAGATTAAACAGAAAGCAGGCTTAATAAATAAAGTTGAAGGTTGCTGAGCAGAGCAACAGTGATGAGTCTTCACTCCTGTGGCCAGTGCCTTGAGATGCCTAGAATGAGTTATACCCACCCCATGCTCCAACACACTCACCCCCACCGTCTCAGTCCTCATCTTACTATGATTGGTTGTTATAAGTGTCAGGATTGTTCTGGTTTGGGGTTTTGGGGTGTATGTGAATGTTTGCTTGCCTGTGTGCATGCGGGTATATGTGGAGGTCGGAAGTCAATGCTGGGGATCCTTCTCAATTGCTCTCTTTTATTTAATGAAGCAGGTTCTCTCTGGGAACCTAGAGCTTGCAGAGCCTGCCTAGTCTAGCTATCCAGCTTGCCCCAGGAATAACCTGGCTCTGCCTCCAAAGTGCAAGAATTACCAGTGGGTCACCATACTGCCCAAATTTTATCTGGCATCTAGGGTCCAAAATCTGGACTTTACGAGCTCTGCCATCTCCCCAGTCCCTGAATAGGTTTATAACATGTACTGTGGGTTTTGGCTGACATGGGGTAATGGGTGTTAGATGTCCCAGTCCGACTCTCCTGGGAGATGCTATGGGCCTTTGCTGGGTGAACCGTTGGTCACTGGAAGCATGCATGTCCTTAAAGGGTCTCCGGAGCCCTGGGCTATTGTTGTTTGTTTTTCAGTCTTTTGTGTATGCTCATGAATATGGGGTGTGTGTGTGTGTGTGTGTGTGTGTGTGTGTGTGTGTGTGTCTGTGTAAGAGCACACATGAATGCACCATGGCACATGCCTGGAGGTCAAAAGCCAACCTTGGGTGGTGAATTGTCACCTTCCATCTTATATGAGACAGAGTTTGTTTTATTCACTGTCACACATGAGCTTCCAAGGATTCTCCTGTCTCTATCTCCCATCTCAAGTAGGGGCACTGGCATTACAGATGCACACTGTCACCCCCAGCTTTTAGTGGGTTCTGAGCATCTGAATTCAGGTCTGCCCTTGGGTGACAAGCACTTTACTCTCTGGGTCACCCACTAGAGCCTGGTTGACCTACCAGGGACCACTCCCTTAAGAAGAACTGACTCTCCCTCCCCTCTAGGACATCAGCTATCAAGGGCTCATTAGCTAGAAGTGGCGGCTCCTGAGACTCTCCCTCCTCGGCCTGGATGTTGGTTGACAGACCTTGTGCAGCGCAGCCAAACACAGCTACTGTGAGTTCATAAGTGCCATAGACCTGGCCATGTCCAAAAGACATTGTTTTGACCTAGTCCTCTTTAACCTGTTCTTGCAGTCTTTCTGTCCCCCTTTCCCCATTGGTCCCTGGCCCTTGCAGGGAGGATGCTTTAGTAGAGATATCCCATTTGTGGCTGACCTCTTCAGAGATACTCATTTTCTGTACTTGGACCATTGTGAGTTTCTAACTTAACCACCATCTACCAATACTGATTGTCCCCCCAGGGAGAGCCTTTCACAGCCATGTGGCCAAAAGTCCTTAAAAGCAGAATTTGCCTCATTCTGTGACTCCAGGGCCATCTGATCCTGCAAGATAGAGGTGGTGGGACAAATCTAACAAGGAAAGTCAAAAAGGAAAAATGTGGCCACCACTGCTATTTTAAATGTTTGTTCAATGACATTCAAGTAGATCTGTGGTGTGACCTGAAGGCCCCGTGTCTAACCTGATGTTGGGCTGTGTGAACAAGGTACAGAGGCAGATACAGTGTGCAAACTTGAGAGCACAGGGGTGACCCAGGGGACAGAGCTGAACTGCCTCATGACCTCAGAGCAGGTGCAAAGTTTCTGCCACATCCACACTCTCTAACCTCCTGACGGTAAAATGGGGGTCCTAATGCCTCCCTGAACGTCTGTTTTGAGAGATAAGCCACATCATGGATGAGAGAGATCCAGCAAGGTATCTAGTGTGGAAAAGCTGTGTGTGATATCTATTTCTGAAGCTAAGTTGTCTAAAACACTGCTCACTTTACAGATGAAAACATTGGGACCCGGAGGAGGGCAGGGACTTGCCAAGGCCACACAGCAAGCCTAGCTAGAGGCCTCTAAGCCCCTCACTTCCTTTCCTTCATCATATGACACTTGTTGCTGAATATGGGACAGTGTGGGTTGTCCCCAAAGGGCTGCACTGCAGGACAGGAGTATCAACATTTCCCTGGGAAGATGGCTCATGCATAGTCTCAGATTCTGAGACAGTGGGGAAAGAGAAGGAGAGAGGTGACTCCCTTCAGCAGGAGTCTCCCCAGTTTGTTTCTTCTTGGGTAGGGATTCCGTCTGCCTCCTGCCAGTATGGCATCACCTGCTCCTTCAACCTGAGTCTAGGGTAGCTACCTGGATGGAGAAGAAGAGACAAGACACTGGAGACAGGCTGCCACCTCCCAGAGCAGAGGACCACCAACAGAAGCAAGCCATGCAACCATCCTAAGAACAGAGCATCCCACTGGTAACAGAACTTGTGAGCATAGAACCTTTAAAGCCAGCTTGTCCATCAGTCAAGTTGGATGGGGAGGGGCTGGCCCTCAACCCCTGTTCCAACAGAGTTGCCCTGAGCCAGGCCCACCGAGTACTGGCCTTTCTGCTCTGTCTCTGCTACCCACATCCCAGCAACCTCTGGGTTCAAACCTCCTCTCCATCCTGATTAAACTCTCTCTCCCTTACATCTGTAATCACGTGCTGGGCTGTGAATTTCAAAACCCCATATAAATACGCGCTTTAGAATTAAACTGCTTCAGCAATTCCCGACAATGATTTCTCCAAAATTAAGCCCAGACAATTTGTTGAGCCAGAGCACAACATCTGAAACATGCATGATGGGCTGGGAAGGAATGTTCTCTGAGCCCAATGGCTTCATAAACAAGGCTCCTCTGAAGGCAAAAGGCGGGCTCCACAGGCACGTGCTGCCCCCTGGCAGCACTGAGGGTTAGTGGCATCCCAGAATGTCACACACTATCCAAAGGAAACAAAGCCTAGCCACTCTTGAGCTCAGCTTCCCCCACTCAGAGACTACCCTGAAACTCCAACTGTAAGAAAAAAAACCTGTGAAAAAGACAAAAGGGTGGAATGAGCTTGGACCTGTATAGCTGGTGTAGCCTCCACTGTGAATAAAAGGAATGAAGCACACACAAGCTGGGTACAGAGGAATCCCCCAAGCGTCATGTTGAGGGAACCTGCAAGGCCGTACACTGCTCGGCTCTGTTTATCTCATGTCCCGAACAGACAGGTAGAGAGGAGCAGAAAGCACATGAGAGGTGGGTGGTCAGAGGTCTGGGAGAAATAGGGGTTGAGTGAGTGGGTGAGTTCATGACTCATAGGTTTCAGCATGTAAAGATGAAAGTATCTTAGAACTAGACAACAATGATAAAACAATGTGGGTGTGCAGAATGCCGCCAAGCTGCACACCTTACAGTGGAAATTTTGGATAAACAAATGTTTATAAATAAATAAATGGGGCTCCGTAGGTGAAGGTGTTTGGCAATGAGCCTGACAACCTGAGTTAGATCCTAAGACCCACAAGGTAGAAGTAGAGAAAAAAAATCCCTGCAGGTTACCCACAGACCTCCCCACAATAATAACAACAACAATAATAATAATAAATATTGTGGTATGATTACTTACTGTAGTCAAATTGACCACTGTGATGGTCAGTCTTGTCAACTTGACAGGATCTAGAGTTCCCTGGGAGACGAGCATCTGGGCATGCTTGTGAGGGTTAACTAAGCAAGAAGGCCATCCTTAGTGGGTAGTTCCATCCATGGGTTGGGGTCCTGAACTGAATGAGAAGGAAAAACCAAAGCAAGCTGCACACCACCATTTGTCTCTCCCTTTGCTTCTGGACTCTGGATACAATGACCAGCTGCCTCATGTTCCTGCCACCAAGCCTTCTGGCCTCTCTGCCTTGGAACTGTGAGCCTAAAGCAACCAAGCCTTCCCTCCTTAAATTGCTTCGTGGGGTATTCTGTTAAACAAGAAAGTGACTAATACAGTCTTAAAAACAAGCTCAACCCTTTCTCACCCACCTTCCTGTCCCTCTCTCCTTCCCCTCAGATGCTCCGGCCTATCTTGAAGTGACAATTTCAGAATATCCTCAAAGGACTCTTTTCTGCCAAGATGGGTCACCAGTTCCTTCTTCCAGGACCAGGTTAGTGGAAGACAAGCCACAGGCCAAGAGCATTGGCACTGTCCCCTGATTCAGACTGGCACCCACATAGAGAGCATCCCTTCCTCATGGTTGGAACCTTTGGCATGAAAGCTATAGACTCTCACTTCTTTGCATGTGAGGTTTTCTGGTTGTCTCTGCACTGTCCAGAGATTTGAGTGAGGGACCCTCAATCATAGTATCTTCCCCATTCAATTTGCCATCCTCAAGCCGAGCTTGTGAATCTAGGAAGGTATTCTCCAGAGGCTCCTAGAGCCCAACTGTTGAAGCCTGGCCAGCCTGCCCCCACACCATGACATACTCTAGGCACCTCACATTCCTAGGGAGAGCCTCTATGGTGCATCATTTAGTCTTCATGCAAACATGAAGTACACAAATTGCTCCCATTTAACTGCTGAAGAAACTGAGGCTCAAGGAACAAGAGTCACACAGGGAGTCAATGGCAAAAACAGAATCTCAAGCTTGGTCCTTCCAGCTGGTCCATGGACTCCAAAAATCTCTAAGGGCTGGGTTCCCATCGAACATCAGAGACCTGAGGCAAGAGGGACTCCAACAGTCAGAACTATCTGTGTCCTGCCTAGGAGCTCTGATGGAGTAGACTTGTATCTGGTGCCCAAGGACAAGCACAGAGCCTTCAGGTGTAAATATCAGTGAGTATATGTAAAATGAAAGTAGACACAGACCCACTGTGACTGAAACAGCCCCACCCGCCTGGAAACAACAACACAGGACCCAAAACAACACAGGACCCAAAACAACACTGGACCCAAAACAACACTGGACCCAAAACAACACTGGATCTGAGTCTTTGCCCAGAGCTTTAACTGAATGTAGACCTAAAACAGCTGGGGAATTAGTCTTACTGGTATCAGCTTGTTCTCTATCTATCTATCTATCTATCTATCTATCTATCTATCTATCTATCTATCTCTGTCTGTCTGTCTGTCTGTCTGTCTCCTTCCCCTCTTCCCTTCCTGCCTGCCTCCTTTTTTTTAAGACAGAGGCTCATGTAATCCAAGCCTGCCCCAAATGCAAGCAAATTCACTATGTAGTCAAGGATGCCTTTCAACTTCTGATTCCCCTGCCTCCACCTCTCAAGGGATTACATTGCCTCCATACTCTCCCTGTGTTACACACACACACACACACACACACACACACACACACACACACACACACACATCCACCCCTAGTCTCAGGTCTTCACAAAAATCTTTGCAAAATAAGACATCAAAAAGGCCCTCTAGGTTCTCCCTGCCTACCTCAAACTTCAGCAGTGAAACTCTTCCTAAAGAAGCTGAAAAGTTAAGTTGAAATTCTCAGACTGTCTTCTGACTTTCTCCCATGTGTTGAATGGAAAAGTGGGGTTTCCAGATGATTTTCACCAGATTGAGTAGTAGGCCAAATCCCATCATGGAGTTGAGAAAGAAAGGCTGTCAGTCCCCTGAGGTCCAAAGCTCTTTGTGACCTGTGCAGGTGGCCATTGCCTATATTCTCAGCTACATTGAAGGCTGAGGCAGGAGAATTTCAAGTTCAAAGCCAACCTCAGCAATGTAGTAAAACCTTGTCTCAAAGTGAAACTATGTCTCAACTGTGGAACATTTTCCTTGCATAAGGCCCTAAGTTCAGTTCCCAGGACAGAAGAAAAAAAGTCTTCATGTTATCAAATTGGCAGTGTAACATTAGAGTGACTCCATGGTGTGACTTGGATGTGCAGAGTCTAGTCTTATGTTAAGAAACATAAATACAGGTCTGGTGTCTAGGAGAAGAAAACAAGGGGTCCATATCTCCCATGATTTGTTCAGAGCCAGCTGAGGTCCTAGTGAGTTCTACACCCACCTTTTCCCATTTTAAGAGGAATAAATGGGATCTTTCCACTGGGGTTACACTCTTACTTCCTCCCTAAATGAGCTGATTCCAGGTGTTCCATCCTCAGCCATTGGAATCATCACATCTTCTAACTCTATCACCAATCGCCAAGACTGAAACCTTGAAAGGAAGGCTGGCCTACTCTTCACCCTCCACTGATGCAGCCACATCCCATTAGTCCCACCCACTGGATACCTCCAGTGACCGCCCACTCTCTCTGAACCATCTGAATGGTTCTAACTTGTGGAGAAGCCTCCTACCCAGCTCCCTGCATGCTCTCTGCTCTCAGTATTCCTTTGTGTTGTGTTTAGCTGCCTGTCTCACCTCCCCAAGGCTCACCCAGGCCTCACCCCTGCATCTAATTGGAGCACTATGACAGCCCTGCCTTCCCTCCTGCTGTCTGACTCCTTGTACCCCTCTGTGTCTAGATCTAAAAGGGGACATTTTTTTCTCTTGCCTTTAAGGTACTATTTGTTTTGACAGAAATTTTACTGACCGCCTATTTCCCACCTATGAACCTCCTAAACACCCTTCAAGGCCAGGCTAAGCTGCCCTCTTCTCAGGAAGATAGGCAGTGTAGCCTTTCCATGATCCAGACTTATGGTAATTCCTGAGTTACCCTCATCTTGCTGTGCTGACCATACAAAGGTCTCCTCTCTGAGGCCATGAGATCATTAAAGATGGGCTGGGTCTTGCTCAGTTCATCACCTCCAGTGTCCATCACTAAGTTCTGCACTTAAGTACTCATCAATAAGTGTGTTTAGAATGAATGTGAATGGTGGGTGTGTATTGAATGCATGGGTGCACACATGCATGACTGGGTAAATTTCTGGGTGTGTTGTGAATGCATACTGGATACATGCAATACTGTGTCTGTGACTAGATTCAATACAACATTAAGCCACCTGTGTCTACCATGCACTCCATCAGCACAGGCGCCAGAGTGGGCACAGCATTGGGGTTGGAACTGTTACCCTGCCCTTTCCTTAGTTGGTTTCTATCTCCTGGGGGTAGCAGTTCTCAAACTGTGGGTTGCAACCCCTTTAAAGGTGGAATGGCCTCTTCAAAGGGGTCTCCTAAGACCATTGGAAAGCACAGATACTTACATTACAATTCATAATAGTATCAAAATCAGTTATGAAGTAGCAAAGAAAATAATTTTATGGTTGGGGGTCACTACAACATAAGGAACTTTATTAAAGGGTCAGAGCATTAGGAAGGTTGGGAGCCACTGCTGTTAATATCAAGTTTGCCTTCACTATGATTCAATGCCTTGGATTTCTCTGCCTTTGGCCTACTGTGGATAGAAGTTCCTGTCCTCATTACCAGGGAGTCCCTCTGCTTTAAATGATCTAATTGTCACTCAAAGCTTTCCCAGTCCACTTAGCAATCTCCATCTGATTCCTCTAAGCTGTGGATACAATCAGTATTTCTTCATTCCCTTGTTCCACATATCACTTTTCCTTCTACTGAAATATCCCAGCTCACTGCCAATCAAAGTTTCATACTTACCTACTACCTTAAGACAGGATGTGCCTCAGCCACCACCAGGAATGCTATCTTCATTGCCCTTGGTGTAGTAGACAACCCACCTCTAACCTGTCCCCCCTTGCATCAGCCTCTCAGACCAGCCCCTATTCTGTCCCACCTTAGATTTCTCACAAAGCTGACTCTGAGAAGACTAGAGTATAGACTGCCTGGGTCCTCTTTAGTTGGCCTCAGACCCGAGATGTTAGTAAAGATACCGTCTGCTGCTAGAAAGTGTTGGTACATAACATTTCAAACCAGCATCAGTGTGTTTCTCTTTGCATAAAGAGGTGTTTTCACTCACAGATGGCTCCCCTCCATGCAGTGACTCAGAGATCTATGGTGGATAGAAGCTATCTTCACTGCACAACTCCAAACTCTCCATGATCCCAGCTTAGCATTATAGTGAAATGAATGCCAAGGACAACAACTGAGGATGCTATGGACTTGACCTGGAAGTGACAGCCATCACTCTCTTTATATTTCATTAGCTAGAACACATTATGTGGCCACACCTGATGCATACAAGGCTGGGTGCCCAGCAAAGCAAAGGAACATAGCCAGGCTCTGTGTAAAACATCCAAAGAGTGAAATGCTCTCTTGTGGTGTGAAACAAAACTATCCTTGGGTACTTTACTCTAATCTCAGGTCAGTATAGGATGCCAAAGTCATATGGAACATTCCACAGATCTACTTTTTAAACCCTTGTTTCCCTTTTCACACCCCAGGACTTCTATAGCCCCAGCCTTCTCTTAGCCTTCCCCCACCCCTCCCATCTCATGCCCAAGCAGCATCAACTACAAATAGCTTATGCAAAATTACACACCGTGAGCCAGGGAGGAAGATGGGATGAATTTCAACTCAAATCCCAAGCAGCATCCTTATCTCTAGGAGAAAACTACAATAGCTCATTTCTTTGCTTCATTATTCTCTTACAGTAGCTATGACAGTTTCTTACAGCTATTTTTTTAAAGATTCAAACACTCCAAGGATCAGCAGTGGACAAGTTAATGAGAAACACAATTGTTGCTGTTAGAAGTAAAGAGCTGATCATGGTGAAATGTGAAGGAATTATTGCATTTATCTAGGGTTTGTCAGTTTAAGTGCAGGAAGCTAATGTTGGGGAAACATAAATGGTCTTTGAACCAAATGAATAACGCAGCTGCTTCTTCCTGCTATTTTTTGTAAGAGTTATTAAATTAAATACACATAAGTTTAAATGCCCCTGAGATAATATGTTGAATACCTTTGGGGAATAAGTCATACTTCCATTTGAAAATGCCAATTTGAGCCCACCTTTAAATCCCTTCTCTTCAATCTTCCAATAGAAATGTACCAAGAAATGTAAAGATCTAATTGAAAGTGTTTATCTCCAGGCTAGAATCAAGGACAGCTTCTCTCAGCAAGCCAAGACCACTGTGGCATGTCTAGGACATAATGAATGTGACATTAGATTGAGGGTACTATTACCCCACCCACAATCCAAAAGAAGCCGGGGGAGGAAACCCTACTCAGAAAGTATGTGTGCCAGGTATGGTGGTACAGGCATCTAATCCCAGTTCTCAGAAGGCTGAGGCAGGAAGATCCCTATGAGTTCAAAGCCAGTCTAGCCCACACAGTGAGTTCTAGGCTAGCCGGGGCTGTATAGTGAAACCTCAAAACAAACAAACAAAAACAAAGAGTATGAAACTTGGATATCTAATAGAACATATTCTCCAAGCCCTACCAAAGGAAAGAATATTCCAGGCTCAGCATTAGTATACAAAGGTAAAAGTAAGATACATGTCAGAGGGATAAATATCAACCACTTATCACGTGTAGAGGAAATACGGGGTAGGTACAGTGAGCTTGTGGGGTCATCTTGGGACTCACCTATTCTCGTGCATGCTAGCCTCACCTTTAATATCTAGCACTTGGGTTTTCAATGCATTCTGTCTGTCACCCCCACAGGCAACTCTGTCCCTGTGAGGCAAAACAGAAGTCTCAAGGGACTGAAGCAGGGTGTAAACATGGCAGCTCTCCTCCCAGGTGGGAGAATTCTGCCGAGGTGCATGTTTTATGCTGGGCTAGTGTTCCCCAGTTGTGGTGAGCTCCAATCATCCATCCAGGAACTTCTTAGATTGTGCACCTCGAATGGGCTGCCTTTCCCTCCCTGCCTCACTTCTCCCTCCTGTGGAAGGTGAAATAGCTTCTCCAACTATGTCAGGATCTGTTTCTGAGGAAATACAAAAGTGAGGTACTAACTGAATATTCTGAAGGGGTGTTAGCAAGTCAAACAATGCAGTCACTGCTATCATAGAGCTGCACATTAAATAAGCAGTGGGCCTTGTAGGGATGAGGGCTGTTGTCTGTGCTAATGTCAAACTAATGTGAGCATGACAAAGGACACATCCTGTGAAGAGCTGCTCCTTTAAATGCCTACACCCCATGATATAGTCTCTCTCTCTCTCTCTCTCTCTCTCTCTCTCTCTCTCTCTCTCTCTCTCTCTCTCTCTCTCTCTCTCTCTCTCTCTCTCTCTCTCTCTCTCTCTCTCTCTCTCTCTCTCTCTCTCTCTCTCTCTCTCTCACACACACACACACACACACACACACACACACACACACACAACTCGATACCACTCCCCTATTTTAGAGGAACACTAAAGCTGAACTATAATATCTGACAGAATCCATGTCAATCCTGGACACACATAAATCTCTCAAAGAATAATAACAGAGCATGTTTCAAGTCACCTCCTGGAACCAGTGAGAAGGCTCAGCAGATAATGCACTTGCACACAAGGCTGAGGACCTGGGTTCAATCCCCAGGGCCCATGTAAAGATGGCCGGAGAAAGCTGACTCCACTAAATTGTCCTTTGACTTCCATGTGCATGCTGTAGCATGGCACACCCATACCCACACACCAAGCTCACATGATAATAAATAAAATTTAAAAGTCACCTATCATAAGTGACTATTTAGTGTTCAAAACAATGCCCAGTTCTACATAATCCCTGCAAACATTCCCCTGGAGAAACATATGAGGCATCTTTAGAAACACATTCTCAAATATTGTGGTCATATCCAAACTACACTGCAGGATGTAAGTGCTAGGGGAAATGGATGAAAGATGAGTGGAAAACCTGAGTAGCGTCTTTGCACCTTTTCTAGAAATCTAGAGTCATTCCAAAATAAAGCAAGATAAGACTCGGCAAAACGAACATCGCCCTCACAATAGAACTATGCAATCTAGAGCTATTTTGAGCAGAAAAGAAAATACAATCATCAAAATATCTAAATTAGTAGAATCTAAACAATGGATTGGATGCTGCCAAGACTCGAAGCAGTCATTTGGAAGATCAGTGGGAGAGACTTCTTCAGACTCAGAGGAAAAGACAAAAATAGTGAGACAAGGGAGAAGGATGGAGAAATGAACCATGGAAGCCCAAAAAGCTCCAGTTTAGAATTCTAGAAGGATTGAACAGACAGATGGAAGAGACATGATAATGCACGAAAGAACAGACGGAAAATTCCCTCAATTGTAAGCAGTGGATTTGTTCCCAAGGATGGTGAGTAGTGCTGGTTGGAAAAGCATGGCAGAAGCTCAGCCCAGGGGCCATGCCTACACCCTTGGCATCTGCACAAATCATGAGTCAGAGAAATGCAAATAGCACTGACTTGTCCTGTGCTTACAACGGGATAATTGAAGCAAAGGAAAGCCCAGGATTCCTGGCATGGCTCCCAGTGAACTGGGGGCTTATATAGGTCCAGCACATCTGAGGAGCTATAAGGGTAGGTGGTCAAGCCTGTCTACACAGCTCTGGGAAATGAGCAAAGCTAAGGCAAAAAAATCTGGGGATGTGAGAGATGGGGACAGGGTTGGAACTTGGCCCCATGCCTTGATTCATTCCATTCATCCTATTTCTCTGCCTTCCACACCCATTTCCCACCCTACTCTCTATCCAGTCTCAAAGTTTAGGTAACTTCAGAAAGTCTCTGCTTTCTCCCAGGGCCATTTTATCTCCAGATGATGACTTCTGATGAGCAACCACTCCTCTCTGTCCCTAGAACTTTAACCCAAGTCCCCATCTTGGGCTATTTTCACAACATCCCAGTATTGCCTTCATATTCCAGCCTCTGAAGCTGAAGTATTCACTGAATACAACGACTTGGACCAAGCCAGGTGTCACAAACTGCAACAATGATAACATTGTGTCACACTGTGCCCACATTGATACAGACAAGGAGAGTAGATGAGATGCAGCGAAGCCTATGGCAACTAGAGAGCATGCGCTCTGAGGACAGTCAGTTACTTCTCACACCCAGCTCAGTGTCTCCTGTGAAAGCATGGACTGAAGAAGACTAGCTCTTTGAGTTTTTCAAAGAAGAACTTTCTTCGATGCAATCTCTTGGTGTAAGCAGCATCCTGCCCTGTTTTTGAGCACAGTGAGGTGGTTTCTAATCTACTTCAGTGCATCCAAGGCACACAGATGATGTTAGGTAAACAGTGCTGAGAGTTCAGTGCTGTAGAGATGCTGTCAGACTAGCAGGTTGCCAACATGTAAATGTGCCCCAGGGAATCTCATGGAATCTCCATACAGTCAATGGTCACCTCCATTCTTGCCTTAGAGATAGGAAACTCACAATGGGGCAGCCTATGGGCTGCCCTAAGTATACAGTGTTGATGCTAGGAGCTAGATCTAGATCTCTCTTGTTACCAAGGAAACCGAGGCTCCATTGTAGGACTCGGAGTATCAGTTATAAAAGAATTTAAAAGCAGACTCAGAAGGAAACTCAAGAACAGAGTTCTTGAGTTTGGGAGAAAACAGTACAGACAAGCAGAAAATACCAGCAGCCACGAGGAGGAAGGGATATGAAGAAAACATCATGCCTTTTAAGTTAGGCAGGAGGGCTCAGAAAAGGCCTAGGGTGCTAAGGATCTGAGTTCAACAGGCACCCGAGTCTATGCTTTTGTGTCCTTAGGCAAAGGATTGTATCAGGGACAAGTGGCTATAAAGGACAGAGACATCTTCCTAAGAAATGCAAAGAATGGGAGTGGGCTGGTAGGCTGAGGTGAGAGCCCCGGAAGTACTGGACCATACGGCCAATGACCCTTTCCAGGGTATTTACATAACACCTGCCTCTCTCAGCTTCATATGTCACAGGCCATTTTCCTGCATGCTCTGTTAAATGAAGTTCAGGTACAGAGGGTTTCCAGCCTCCCGTATGAACTTGCTTCTTCCACGTGTTAAATTGGATGTTTCAGTTTCTGGTCCCCACTCTCCTATCAGGTCCTGACCCTCGGCCACCTCACTTTTTGTGTTTTACCATCACCATATAGGTTCTTAGACAAGCCAGTCTCCATACATCTCCATTTCAAAGACCAACCCCTAACCCTTCTCCAAGTTTCCCCTGCCTGATTCATATAGGTTCTTAGACAAGCCAGTCTCCATGCATCTCCATTTCAAAGACCAACCCCTAATCCTTCTCCAAGTTTCCCCTGCCTGATTCCCTATACATTCCCATCACTAACTCAACCTCATTACCTTCCCTCCAACTGGGAAGCAACCTCCCAGTTGACCTACCTGCTTCTGGAGCCTCTTTCACTATGCTCTCCACAATTCTTCTAAATAATATTTAATAGAAAGTTTTACGCTCTCTTGCACATTGCCAGGTTCCATGGTTGAGTTTCTTTATCATCTAGTGTGATCCATCTCCTGACCTTATTTCTCACCACTACTATACCAAATTCATACCATCAGCACCCTCGCTGAAGTTCCTACGTCCTTCAAGTCCTGTGAGCTTCATCATGCCTTGCTTCTGACTGTGTTGATCTCTCCACTGCAGGGCTGTTGGCCTTCTTTGGAGAAATCCTCCCCATGCTGAAGACCTGGCTTGAATTGGGCCCCAGCGTGAGAATTTCCTAAAACTCCAGAGTTAACGACTAGGTTCTCAGTGACCTTCTTAATCACTTTCTTGAATATCTACCTCCTCAAATGGATGGCTTTATGTGACTGCCCCATGCCTAACAGAGGCTTAGGTATCAACAGATTCAATTTATTCCTTGAACATGAGCAGCTACAGCTCCACACTCTGCAGTCACATAGAAGGAAATGACATGATGTATTTCAAAGCTAGCTCAATTAATTCTTTTACCAACCCTACAATTTTCTAGTTACATGCATTTTACCAAGGTGAAGGAAGACACTCCGAGAGCTAATATGCCTAAGGTATGACAGCTAGGAAGTAGCAGCCAGAATGAAATCCAGGGATTCCCATTTTGTTAATGGTTCCATATTTCCCTTCAACCTCAGCAACAACCCCTGATGGTTTTCCCTGGGCCTTCTCTTCCTTCATCTAGTTCATCAGTCTCAGTTCTTTCTGTCATTCCTGAGTCACCACTCATCACTGATTTAAATACAATGAAGAAGGCCACCATGGTGCAAGCACTAATTTCACTCCCACACTTGACTTCCTTCTGTTTCACCCAAGGTAAATACTACTGACTCCATGGGAATTCAAGATAAGGGGAGATGAAGACCTGTTCCATGTACTCCCATCTCCTCCCTCAACTCCCATCGCTTCAGATAAAAATATCTTCACAAGTGTCCTCTTTAAAATCTTCAGTAGCACCTGCCTATTCTGTGTAATGCACAAGATGCATTCACACGCTGTGTGGTCTTTTGTGTCTTATTAGGGTTTAAGGACAAGAGGGAAGTGAAGAGTTACTGCCAACAGGTGTGGCGCTCTTGAGAGCGATAACCATATTCTGGAATTACCACCAATGATTGCATAACTTTGAAGCAACTAAACCATGATTTTTAAATTGTGGTCAAATGTGCATAATATAAAATCGCCATTTAGTCATTGTCAAACACATAGTTCAGTGGCATTAAGTGGATTCACACGGTGTAACCATCACCATTTTCCCTCTCTTGAATGTCCTGACCTCTGTGTGTGTGTCTGTGTAAACGCATATACTAATACAGTGATTTTTTGTAAGGAATTGAATCATATGATTAGGAAGTCTGGGTTCTAACATATGCAGTGGACAAGCTAAAAGCCCCAAGAGAGCAGATGATACAGTGCTAATCCAAAGGCCAGCAGGCTGAAGACCAAATAAAAGCCAACATCCAAAAGCAGGGGAAGACGATTTCCCCCAAACTCCCTGCCAAGGGAATTTCCTGTTATTTGAGGAAGAGTCAACTTTTATTCTATTCAAGCCTTTGACTGACTGCATGATGTGCATTTAGAGAGGACAATATTCTCTCCTCAGTCCACTGAACCCAGTGTCAAACTCACCCTCACCAACACATCTACAAGTGCTTGACCAAATAGCTGGACACTCCATGGCTCACTGACCCATAAAATCGCCCATCACATTTTCAAGCTGAAGTACCCCTTAAATAACTTCAATGCCACCTCCCTCCCTGCCCTGGGCAACCACAACTGTAGATTCTGTCTCTCCAAATTTGACTATTCTAGTACAGA